ACAGCTCTAGTCCAACGGTCGTCTTTAAATCTCATTACGTGACCAGCCCATCTGATTTTCGACACCTTGGCATATGAGACAGCGTCCCGCACGGAAGAGCCTGGCAAGCTATCCGCTGTGTATTCGATATGCCAAAACCAGTAACTACAACTGGTCTCATTCACCTAGTTATTATTAAAGTTTTTTTAAATTGGAGATGAGGGTTGGGTTGGGTCACACCTGGAGGTGCTCAGGACTTACTCTTGGTTCTGTGCTCAGGGATCATTCCTGGCAATGTTCGAGGGACCATTGTAGTGCCAGAGTTTGAAGACGGTTCAACTGTATAAAAGGCAAGCATCTTACCCTCCAGTCCCTGAAATAGTTTAAAAACAGTTGAAAGGCCATTTCTGCAGTACATAATTCTTTTATGTACTTTGTAGATTTTGAGAAGCTCCCATGTTCTCTCTGAGTGTTATTCTCTCTTTTCCTCTCTCTCTTTCACTCACTCACTCACTTGCTCACTCTCTCCCTCTCCCTCCCTCCTTCCTCTTCCTCAAGAGCTCTGAATAAAATTTGGTTTTGCTTCCTGCTCATCTCCTAAAATTACTTTCTGTGAGAAAGGCAAGGACCCTGAAGGCCTGGGTCAGGCCTAAGACTGGCTTTCCTCTCCTGCAAAGAGCAATTCCTCACTCCACCCTGAGTCCACAGCTCCCAAAAAAAATCTGATGGTAGGGATTAACTCTCAGGCCATGCAGAACATGGAGATATCAGATTTGGCTTGATGACTACCTTAGTGGGGCTGCGGGACTCGTGGTCAGTGTCATTGAGGGGCTCATTGCAGACTTTATCAGCCATAGCCTTCCCAGCCAGTCCCAGGGTGGCAGAGTTGGATCAGGAGAAAGTGGCCAACTCTCTTCTTTCCACTTCAGTTACAGCACTAAGTTTTGAATTAACGACTACATATAAGAATTATGACCATGTATAAGAAATGTGACACACCCCACCTCCTGCCGGCGCCAGATAATCTTACCAGCCACCCTCCAGAACTCATGGCTGCTTCTCCCAGAAGGGAGCATAAAATGAGGCCCCCAAAACCATGCCACGGGACTCCGCGCCAGGCTGTTTTCACTCGGGGCGCCCCAGAGAGGGGTGGGTGACAGCCCTCCCTACCCCACGGGACCCAGCCCTGGCAGCTAACATCCACTACCCAATCGCTGCCACACTCCAGGCCGCTTTCCACATGCTCGGGCTGAGCCTCACATATGAGTGAACATATTCCTAGACCACGCAGCCACAACACATCATAAGACATTCCCTACCCATTTTCCATAATTATCACACCATATCTGATGGTTTCAGACAGGCAACAAATCATAGAGAGAAATATATATATGAATATCTATCTATCTGTCTGTCTGTCTGTCTGTCTGTCTGTCTGTCTATCCGTCTATCCATCTACACACGGACATACCTCTCAGAGAGCCTGGCAAGCTACTGAAAGTATCCCGCCTGCACAGCAGAGCTTGGCAAGCTACCCATGGTGTATTCAATATGCCCAAAACAGTAACAGTAATAGGTCTAATTCCCTGGACCCTGAAAGAGCCTCTAATATGGCAGCGTTGGGAAAGATAAGGAGAGGCTGCTAAAATCTCAGGGCTGGGATGAATTGAGACGTTACTGGTGCCCGCTCAAGTAACTCAACGAACAGCGGGGATGACAGTGATGACTTTGTAGATTTAAGGGACTTTGCACATTGTTACTATTATTATATGGTTATGTTTTCTTTTCCTAGTGTCTTCAACTAGAGGTGATGTAGCCTCCCCCTCCCACCACACTACCTTGGATATTTCAAGGGCACCATGGGTGAATGTCGTGTAACTGGAAAGCCAGGGCACAAGACTAGCGGAGCAGCTGGTAGAACTGAGGGTGGGGAGGGGGGGAAGTCACAAGAAGGAGATGGGGCAGGAAGGGGACTCCACTAGAAAAAGGCCGAGAAGAACTTGCTCTAGATGGTAGGCCCTGGTAGGGCAGGAAGCATAAGCCATTGACTTTGAGCCCAGCTACAAAATACATTTGTAACAGACAATTTGGGGACAAACTGTAACATTCCATGGCATGATTCTGATGTTAAGCACCCCAAAGCATGGTCCCTATTTTGCTAACTTTACACCTTCTAAACAATGTTCCCATATGAAACCAAAGTGCCTGTATCATCTTATAAGCCAGGAAAACTGCAATAGTTATTGAAAAGGCATATTAGTGACTGTCTCAGGCCCCGGGTGTTGTTTATCTTCCTGCTAAATGCTAAGATTTCCAAAGTGGACCTATTTCCCCTCTGCAAACATAATAGTGTCTATTTCTGAATGTAGTGGAAATAATTTCACATCTAAATTTGAATTCAGAGCCTCAGAACTGTTCTAAGTGGTTTCTATCTACCTCAATTACACCTTTATTAACTTAATAAATGTTCCCATTATTGAAAGTTTGGTTTTTAAAAAATCCCGATTCTTGTGCCATTCTTCTCGTGGCATTTTCCCACTCGATAGCAGCTCCTCCCCGCCGCCCCCATCCCTCAGTGTAGCTTAAACCTCACTGAGCTTCGAGGCAGGTGACTTAGAAACACAATCCCGAAGCTTATGCCAGTCTCTCATTCTGCAGTCGCTCACCTGGCACCTCAACCCCTCGCCGTCATCAGTAAGCTGGATGATACCCAGGGCTTGGGCACTAGGTGGACAGTCAAGAGGTTTGTCATTGAGTTATTTTTGTAACCGATGTTCCTCTGACTCAGGGTCTTTTTCAGCAGGTGAGAGCATTTTAAACTGTCATCTCCATTAAAGTCAAATGCCACGTGTTCTTCAGGGGACTTAATGACTCTGCCCAGCATGGTTTTATCACTGACCTAGCCAAATGCCAGCGACCCCTGTGATCCCTCTCCAGGTTCGCTCACTCAAACCGGGAGATAAAGTCAGACCCGAGTGTGCCTGAGCACGAAAGAAAGTCGCTCCCAGCTCAAGGAAGCAGATTTGGTTAGAGAGAGGCCAGGGGCCACTTCCCCACATCCTTGGCTGTTAGATTGTCTGCACCCACCTGAGCTCTGAATATATTTACTTGGGTCCTTTCTTCACTTGCTGACTTTCTTTATTGAGCGGGTGCCCAAAGCTTACTTTTGGTTCTCTACTCAGGGATCACTGCTGGTAGGGCTCAGGAGACCCTCTGGGGTGCTGGGGACTGAGTCCTGGTCAACTACATGTAAGTCAGTGCTTTCTCTCTTGCACTCTGTGTCCAGCCCTGGCTTCCTTTTGGTCTCAGCTTTGTTATGACACATGTCTGTGATCACACAGCCAAGAAAAACATGGGTATTTCAATCTTGATGCTCTCCAGGGTGTAGAATCATGTGGCATCCTGGCCACCTTGGGTGGACTGTGCCAGAGCAGGACAGCATGAGGGAGGTATCCAAGCATCCACCGAGGAAATGGGGGTGTTGAGGGCCACACTCCACTCTGCTTGGTGAATACTCACAGTGCCTGTGCTCATGGGCTCTCGTGATAAAGTGGCCCTGGGAGGGGTGGGAGCAGACATGGAAACAGGCATCTGCAGGACACACTGACTGCTGACTCATTTTCATTCCTTCTCTGAGTCCTGGCCCTGTGGACCATTCTCCACTGAGGTCCACCCTGCTCTAGCCCAACTTGCTTTCTCGGTTGTTACCTGACAGTAATCTGGTATTTCCCAGAGCGCTCCCTGCCTCTCCTCCCTCCCAGGCCGCGCTTCAGGGCAGTGGCCCACTCTTTCCCATCCTCAGCTGCTAGTGACTTTTAGCCAGGACCCAGACACTCATGGGGACCAGCATCCTGGGTCAGTCAGATGCATCCTCCAGCCCTGGGCCACGTTCTGTGTCCTGACTTGAGCCCTGGCAAGCACACAGGCTGCAGGCGTCTGCACATGTTACAGGTGGCTTCAGGCTTTCTGACAATCAGGCAGGGATGCCCAGGAGGTGTGAGCAGCTGAGCTGAACGATTCGCCAGATGGATCAGCCTTAAAGTAGGGGATCTTAAAAACAGGGAGACGGCTTTGGAAGAAATAAAAACCACAGCAGCTTTGAATCACACCCCATGGTGCCCAAGGGTCACTCCCTGCTCAGCACTGGGACTCCTGCTGGCAGTGCTCCTGGGATTGTGAGGAGCTGGAGGTGAAACCGGGCCTCCTGACGGTACAGCACATGCTCCCACTCACTGCACTCTCACTGGCCCAGATCAGTTTTTAAAATCTAGAGTTTTTCAGGTCCCCTGGCTGCGATGGGCTGTAACAGTTCTGGGCCTGCAGCCTTGAGCTTATGAGTCTCATGAGGTGAGTTTCAAGGGCTGCCTGAGGAAATTCGCACAAACTGAGTTTGCCATCTACCATAATCATTTATCAGTTCTATATAAAAATAAGCAACAGGGAAGTTCTTCTTTCCAGGCTTAGGGCCTGTCTCCAGTTTGAGATGATATGCCCTCTGCTGCTCTCTCTGCCTTCGTGTTATTTTGGACTGAAGCAAAGAACCAGATATGCAACATTCCAAAACAAATGGCTTCAATTTTTCCACTCATATCAGTGTGAACAGGAATATCACACAAAGAGACATGTCGCTCTATAGACTAACTCTTGCTAATAGAAACCCTTGTCTTCGAGGGATGACATAAAGTCACATTTTGGCACAGTCTAGAGGCATAAAGTACATCTTATAGGAAATCTGAGTATTTTCACTCTCTTTAGTATTTTATTGACTCAGAGAAGGCAGAGATTAACGAAAGGAACTGAAGCGGAAGCTGCTGTCGTCCTGGTGCGGGAAGAACACTGGACATGAGGGCGTCTCAAAGGGTCCTTGGCAGTTGGTGACAGTGAGTCACTTCTGTGCTTAACTTACAGAATAAACAAACACACAACCAAAGGCTTTCTCAGCGGAAGCAGCTGCACGAGGCTATTCTTCGTGTTCCTTTTTTCCATTCTGCTTCTAATTTTGCTTAATCGCTTTGTTTCAGGAAGGGTTTTCACTCATCGGCAGCAAGAGCTGGTTGAAGATTGTGAGGCGGAGGGACTGCCTGTTGTTTGGGACCACGATACAGGCAAGACGCTGCTTCAGGCAAATGGCCCTGTGGGGGTGGGGAGGGGCAGCCCCTTCAGGTGAGGGGGGCTGGGAGAATGCGCATCTAGGGAAGACATGCTGAGCGGACCATGAGCTAGGGTCGGCAGGTGACACTAATGGAGCCATGCACCCATCTCTGTCCCTGCACAGGCGGGGAGGGGCCGGGGCCAGTATTGTCTATCTTCTGTTTTTGTGTTGGGAAGGGGTGTCATTTCCCATGCCTCCCTGAATGTTTTTCATTTTTCTCGTCTTCAATACGAAAAGAAAATCCCTCTTCTCTGCTTTCGAGCAGTATTAAAGGTAAAGAATGATCCTCATCAAAGAAACCTGCAGACTAATCACTTGGATTATCTTCTTTCAAAAATAGCTATAATAACCAATCTGTTATCATTCACGGAGTGGATAATACTGAAATTTAGGTGAGAGATCCTCATTCTGAGGGCTTATCCAGTGAGCGCTGAAAGAGGTCTTCCTTCATGAGCATCTGACAAAGGGGTTTTCACCAGGCTCATAGACCCTCCAAAGGGTCTGCAGGAAAGTCAGAAGTTCTGGGAATTTACAAGGATCTTCACTGACCTCTAGCAGAAACCTAACATCTCTCTATTGAAGGCTGTCTACATGAGACCACAGAGATGTATCTTTTCACCAATAAAAATCAATTAAGTTTTTTTTTGGCTTTTAGGCCACACCTGCCTGCCAGTGCTCATTCTTGGCTCTGCACTCAGGGATTACTCCTGGCTGTACTCAGGATGCTATATGGGGTGCAGAATATTGAACTTGGGTCAGCCGTATGCAAGGCAAGTGCCCTGCTTGCTGTACTATCTCTCTGGCCCCTAAAAATCACGTTTGAAAAAAACTGGGGGCCACACCCAGCAGTGCTTAGGATGTAGTTCCAGGGTCAAACCCAGGGCTCCTGTAAACAAAACATGTGCAGAGCCTTTGCTGCCTGCTATGCTACTTCATCTTTCTCTTCAGAGAACTTTGACACTGTAATGTAGAATTTAATGTTACACTGGTGAAGGGACAGGTACACTGTATGACTGAAACCCAATCACGAACAACTTTGTAACTGGACTTCTCAGGTGAGTCAATAAAAATAAATTTTTTAAAAAAAGAATTTAGGGGCTGGAGCGATAGCACAGCGGGTAGGGCATTTGCCTTGCACGTGGCCGACCCGGGTTCGATTCCCAGCATCCCATATGGTCCCCTGGGAACCGCCAGGAGTAACTCCTGAGTGCAGAGCCAGGAGTAACCCCTGTGCATCATCAGGTGTGACCCAAAAAGCAAAAGAAAAAAGAAAAGAAAAAGAATTTAATGTTACAGAAATGTATATTTATGTAAGATATATATCCAATCTAGAGTACATTTTTAACCTCAAATTTTAATTTTTGTATAGATTTTTATTTCAAATAACTTAATGCTAGGAGCTTTGTCTATTGTGAATTGCATTCTTTACACTGGAGATATTTCTAGCTGCTTGTTATATTTTTCTGAATTAATTAAATTTAGCTTAACTGGTAGATTTTTAATTTGTAGGAAAGTAATGTTCTAATCTGCCAACAGTGACAATTTTGCTTGTTTCTATTTGCTACTCTTCTCTTACTGAATGATTTAGACCATCTAGAACATGGTAATTATCCGGTTAGAGTGCCACCCTGCTATCTCGCCGCCTTGTATGAGAAGTGGGTGTAGATGTTTGGATCAACTCTGGCCCTTGATGGGGTATTCTTGGCCATTAAAGCAAGCCATTTCTTCACTTGCTTATATTTTTAATATAGGGATTACACATTAAATTTTAACTGAATCCTTTTTTGGATACCTGTTAAGATCATGGGTTTATTTCTCTCCTTTAAACTACTTCCTGGATAATACTAACAACAGGGTCTTCCTTTGGTTGTATCTGGCGAAGGTGTCCTTTGGTGCCTCTTGACTTTAACTACTTTCGTTTACCAAATGTCATGTCATGGGGCTGGAGCACAGCACAGTGGGTAGGGTGTTTGCCTTGCACGTGGCTGCCCCAGGTTCGATTCCTCCATCCCTCGTGGAGAGCCCAGAAAGCTACCGAGAAAATCTTGCCTGCACGGCAGAGCCTGGCAAGCTACCCATGGTGTATTCGATATGCCAAACACGGTAAGAACAAGTCTCACTTCATGTTCCTGGAACGAGCAGATGCCATTGGGCTACACTAGCACGTGACAAGGACGAATGGAGACGTTACTGGTGCACGCTCGAGCAAATCAATGAAACAGGACAACAGTGCTACAGGGCATGTAACAAAGACCATTGCTTACTGGAACAAAGCCAGGACCGCAGACCAATAGAACAGGCTGGAATATCCGTGCACACAACCCCAAATGTGTGAACATCTAATCTTCGATAAGGGAGCAAGAAATGTGAAGTGGAACAAGGAAAGCCTCTTCAACAAATGGTGCTGGCATAACTGGACAACCACATGCAAAAAAAATGGGCTTAGGCCTCGACCTAACACCATGCACAAAGTCAGATCAAAATGGATTAAAGATCTCAACATCAGGCCAAAATCCATAAGGTACATTGAAGACAAGGTCGGCAAAACCCTCCAGGATATTAAGGCTAATGGTATCTTCAAAGACTCCACTGACCAACCAAGTGGAAACAGAGATAAACAAATGGGACTATCTTAAATTAAGAAGCTTCTGCACCTCAAAAGATACAATAACCAGAATACAAAGACAATCTACAGAATGGGAAAGGATATTTACCCAATGCCCATCTGATAAAGGGTTGATATCAAGGACATACATAGCACTGGTTGAACTCATTTCATTTTTTCATTTCATCATCCTGTTAATCGTCGATTGCCTCGAGCAGGCCCCAGTAACGTCTCTTTCATCCTAGCCCTGAGATTATATTCACGGCTCTTTAGGAGAATGAGACCCATCATTGTTACTGGTATTTGGCATATTTGGTAGGCCACGGGGAGTTTGCCAGACTCTGCCCTGTGGGCAGGCTACATTCGATAGCCTGCAAGTTTGTCCAAAGTAGGAATGAGATAATAAGATGTCGCGCGGCCGCAAATGCGGCCGCGCGGTTCCGGGATCTGGATTTTATAGTCTCTGAGTCTTGGCCAAGACTCAGAGACTATAAAATCCAGATCCCGGACGAGAACAGTGCAGTCTCTGCCCCCGCGCCTGGGTGTTCCTTCCCGGAGTCCCTTGGAGGGGAGCGGGTTGAGCTTTCCTCCCTGCCCCGACCAGGGCTACGGCAGCCGAAGACCTTCAGGACCAGCCACCACCATGCTGAGACCACTCTCCGCACACATGAAGGTACTGGCAGAGGGACAAAGCCACGTGGGTTCCGGGGCCGAGACCTCCAAGCCTACTCGATTTGGAGTCGAGCATCTTCCACCCAGATCCTCCAAATTCCAGTAGGCGGGGGTCACACCCACCACCTGGCCCCCTGGCGCCGTGTAATCCCATCAGCGGTTGAACTCAATAAGAAGAAAACATCTAACCCCATCAAAAACTAGGGTGATGACTTTTGGAAAACAGTATGGACGACTCTCAAAGAATTAGAAATTGAGCTCCTATTTGACCCAGCAATACCACTCCTGGGAACATACCCCAGAGAGGCGAAAAAGTATAGTCGAAGTGACATCTGCACTTGTCTGTTCATTGCAGCACTGTTTACAATAGGTAGAATATGGAAAAAACCTGAGTGTCCAAGAACAGATGACTGGTTAAAGAAACTTTGGTACATCTACACAATGGAGTACTATGTAGCAGTTAGAAAAAATGAAGTTATGAAATTTGCATACAAGTGGTACTACATAAAAAATATTATGCTAAGCGAAATGAATCAGAAAGAGAGGGACAGACATAGAAACATTGCATTCATCTGGGTAACATAAAGTAACAAAATAAGAGACTAACACCCAAGAACAGCTGTGATAAATACCAGGTTGTTCACTCCATGGCTTAGAGGCCAGCTGCACACTCTAGGGGTAAAGGCAGCTCAGATAGAGAAGGGAGCACCAAATAAAGGGTGCTGGGAAGATCTGCCCAGGATGGGAGATGCCTGCTGAAAGTAGTCTATGGACCGAACATGATTGCCACCCAATGTCTCTTTTGCAGACCACAGCACCCAAAAGGAGTGATAGAACAAAAGGGAATGCCCTGCCACAGAGGCAGGGTGGGGTGGGGGATGGGGGTGGGAGGGATACTGGGATTGGTGGGGGTGGAGAATGGGCACTGGTGGTGGGATGGGTACTAGATCACTGTATAACTGAAACCCAAGCACAACAACTTGTTAAGTCTACAACTGTACCTCATGGTGTTTCACTAATAAAACAAAAACAAAAAATGGGGTGATGAAATGAACAGAAACTTTCCCAAAGAAGAAATCCAAATGGCTAAAAGGCACATGAGAAAATGCTCTACATCACTAATCATCAGGGAGATGTAGATCAAAACAACAATGAGATATCATCTCACACCACAGAGACTGGCCCACATCCACAAGAACAAAAGCAACTGGTGCTGGCGTGGATGTGGCGAGAAAGGGACCCTCCTCCACTGCTGGTGGGAATGCCGACTGGTTCAGCCCTTTTGGAAAACAGTCCATTTGCACTTTTGCACTTCTATGTTCATTGCTGCACTATTCACAATAGCCAAAATCTGGAAAAAACCCGAGTGCCCAAGAACAGATGACTAGTTAAAGAAACTCTGGTACATCTACACAATGGAGTACTATGCAGCTGTTAGAAAAGATGAAGTCATGAAATTTACATACAAGTGGTACTACATGGAAAGTATCATGCTAAGCGAAATGAGTCAGAAAGAGAGGGACAGACATAGAAAGATTGCATTCATCTGGGGAATATAAAGTAACAAATTGGGAGAGTAACACCCAAGAATGGCCAAGAGAAGTATACCAGGAGGTTCACTCCATGGCTTGGAGGTCAGCCGCACATGCTGAAGGAGAAGGCAGCTCAGATAGAGA